GGGATCTAGGGATCGGGTCTCTGTGTTCTGGATCTCGGATCTTCTGGGATGCAGGATTCGATTCAAGGTTTGGTGTGAAAATCTTGTCTGAAATTCACGACCTATTTAAAATACGGTCGTTGTCATGACGATGGTGGTGGACGATGGCGCTTCCCAGGACGATGGCGCTTATTCACTTGGGCGAAGAAATGCAGTGCTGTTACAAAGCTTTTACGGCGTAATTTGGATGCGAAAATAATTGAAATTTATATGCTTATTTTGTATTGACGGTGCTGCAGTGGCGCTACCCAGTGCTTTTAATAGGCGTAACTAGTCCCGAGGTTTCATTAGGGTATGTTCTGAAATTTTCGCCAGGGAGGGAAATCACCCTTTAAGCAGTGTGTCGAAGGTTCCTTTTGGATGCATGTTGGAGAGTCTTACAGACGGGGACAGGGTGTTCTATTCAGTTCGTAAGGACAGACGTACGTATGGCAGAAGTTTTTCAAGGTCAAAAGTTTGCGTGGGACAACAGTTATTCTGAAGCAACAATTATCCTTGTTATTCTATGGCAAAAGTTATTCTGGTTATTATACAGCAAAGGTGTGTGTCGTTAAAGTTTGTATAGTGCAAAAGTTCGTTTAGGAAAAATCGCATAGCAGAGGTTCGTCTCGGACGGAGTCCTGTGTTTGATTCTGATTTCATTAAGTCCATTCCCGTTGCAATGTATAGTACTCTGCATGTATACTGGCAGGGAATCTATTCCAATTATTTTATCTTTCGATTTCAGGCGTTTTCCAGTAAACGATTCTACCAATGGCTCTGCTAAAACTAGATCAATTTCGAAATCTGAATAGAATCTGAATGTTATCATCATTGGCCTAGTTTTCATTGCATCACCACAGTTTTTCCTTTGTTTTGTAAGTATAAAAAATTAGCAATGTTATTGCTCAAGTTTTGCAAATCCTGGCGTATCCAATGCAGTCCTGTAGAAAGATACAAAGACGCACACAAAGCCGTTCATTTCGCCCCAGATTGGCCTAAGAAGAATGTGTGCTCCGCACACTCAGCTGATTTTGGTGATTTGTTCTCGGTGGGCCGGCCTAGTCCTTAAGTTGAGTATACCTACCACAATTTCGCCTGATGTCAGATTTTATAATTGTTTCGCTGATGGTAGTTTGACAGGCATGAATGCTATCTGTCGAATTATATGCCAAACAGGTCACACTAAGTCATTTACGTACGGTGCGGTCACCCACCTTCATGTCCTCACTTTCGACACAGTTTTGTTCAGGGTAGCCTAGCTAAAAACCAACCCGCGTTTTTCCCCACGATGGCAAGTGAAATTGCGACACAACGAGGGATATGGAGGCATCCGACTGTCACTTTAATGGCAAGTTATGGCCAGCGACAGTGCATCATCAAATCGTGACCTTACAAAAGATGGCCGGCCGCCTGGCGGTTCAGGATTGCCGACAGCCAGCCCAGCTGCAGGTGGTCGATTGTCTAGTTGATCTTGTCGGTGACGATGCGTTCCATCTCAGGTATGAAAGTGGTCTTGACCTCCTGAGGATTCGTTGGTTTGTTCACGTGGAGGTGGCCCTTAAGATAATCCCGTAGAATGAAGTCCAGGGTTGACAGATGGGGCAAGTGAGGAGCCAACGGCACGCCAGTCTTTGGGCTAGTGTGCCTTCCAGTGAAATGCGCCTCCAACCAGTCTAGTGAAGCCCATGCTGTATGCGACGCGGCCTGTCCTCTCTAAACCGCTCTTCGTCTCGATCGATCCCATGAAGTCGCCTCGGGGCCGACCATAAGGATATCAGGGCGTTAGCCACGTAACGCTGCCATGCAGTGCTGACGGCATTTTCGTTCTCCACTTAAAAAGGCGATGATTCAAGGTTGGTCTTTCCGCATGGCAGCCCACATTGTGGCCTTCGAACGGAGAAGTTTGTGGATAACCCCATCTGGCCTGTGCCGGCCCGATGGTGATGTGGCTGTTGACCTGATTGCACAGCTATAAGTGCCTCTTGCCCGAGAACCACACAATCGCAGAGACCTCGGGGTATTGTCTAAACTAATGCATCATCTCCACGCCTTCGGTATGGCCCCATACGTCCGCTTTTGAAGAATGGTTAACTTGTAAGGCTTGAATTGAGACTCCTTCAACGTGCGTTACATCGAACTCCGTACGCCTGTGGCTGATGGGTGGGTCGCCCTGTGCAGCCCTGTGTAACGGAGTCACTAAGTTG